GTTTTGTCATATTTGTCATTTTGAAGTTAAACCCTTAATATTTCCCTGTTTTCACCATAAAACAGCTCCAGGTGTTCAGACGCGTCCTGCTCTGACACACAGGAACAATAGAGCCCTCTTTAATATGGTTTCACAAAAAATATAAATTACATCTGCAGATTTTATTGTCAGATTTGATTCATGATTCAGATTTAGGCTCAGTTTCTGTTAGAAATAAATTAAATTAAAATGATAAAATAACTGGTCTCTTTTGTTTCCTTAATCCTGTTTCTGCATAAACACTAAACATATATGATGTTTAATCTTCACTTATTGAGCACTTATGAAATTATGCAAAAGAACGTGCACAGACGGACTTAAGCAATCTCACCTCTTCCAAATCTAAAAACTTCACAAACATAAATGTAAAATGTGCATTAGGTGTTGGTTCCAGAGTTTGGGGAGGTCACCTGACACGTTTTTATCTACTCTGCACTCTTTTAAGTTACATTACTTTGATAAAGTAATTGAGATAATTACATTTATTACATTACATTACTATTACATTTTGTGGCGGCTAACTTGTAATCAGGAACCTTTTGCATTTCCAAAGTAACCTTCCCACCACTGTCAGACCTTACTCTGGTGCAGTGGGCCCTGGGTTCCTGGGACTCTCAGTATGGATAACTAACAACAGTGTCGAGCATTTAGGTCCCAGTTTATGATCTATCCTTCCTGATGAATTCTATGAAAGGGCCCCAGATCTTCTTAAACTATCTTGGGAGTCAGAAATGGAGAACCGAACTATTTCAAGGTGTAAACAGGAAACCATATAATTTAGCCACCTCTTGAAGCAAGGAGGGGAAGCTGACTTCACTCCGTTTTGCAACGGCCATACCAAACATACCAAGAGCTAAAGAACCTTTGGAGCAGCCCAGTATCACTAAGAGACAGTCAGGGACCAGTTGTCTATTATAAACAGCAGCGCACAAACTGATATTGTCGTCCCAGAACCTTGTGAGCGCAGGGCAGGACCAGAAAAGATGCCCAAGAGTTTGCATTTATCTTTTTGTGATTTTGGTTTCCATTTGTTCTCAATAAATAATACAAAGTGCAGGAAAGATTTTGAACTTGGAACTATTTTGTTCATCGAAATCTGACGTTGGATTTAAGTGTTCCCTCAATTTTTGTGAGCGGTGTAATTAAATTGTACAATTATATATTAATTTTATTATTTTTGCTTCTGTTAGAGACCTCAGCTGAGTTAGCTATAGCTAACAAAGGGTCAAACCTTAGTACCTATTTGTTGGCTAAAATATATCTTATAATCTGTGGACTTTATCTTTAAACTCATACGTATCCCTGTTAGTCAGTCAGGTGTTACACTTTGGCATGATGGGAGAACTGACAGACCTCTAAACCATGTGTGACCAAACTGCAGCTGCATCAAACAGGAAAACTTATCAACTATTTCAGACGTCAAAAGAAACAGTCTGGTAAAAATCATCACAGACGTTACTTCAAAGTTCAGGAGCTTTTTTATTTGTTATTTTCTCTGCCCACGCTGAGCTCCTCAGGCGGGTTATTTACAGTCTTTGGGCGACTCTGGGCTTAAATAAAATGTTGTTGCCCTCCTCTAATGTGTGACAGAGCACATGTGAGCAGCTCCTCTGACTAATCGTGTTTGAATAAACCCACAAGGGGTTTTTAATGGCTTCTCTTCAGTGTTTTTGTTTCTCCCTCTGCAGAGCTGCTCTTCGTCCGCAGACGGTGATGTGGCGTGTCACAGGACGACCAGTTTTCCACGTCGCTCTGCCAAAGCTGCCCGGCTGCAGCCCAGGAGACAGACTGCAGCTGCTGCTGGCCTGAATATTAAAGACATTTCTCTTTGTTTTCTTCTTCTGCCCGGTGGCGAGACAGCAGAAAGGACTGTGGTTAAATATCTGTGTATGTTTTATTGGAAATGACTGAGTCACACAGGCCGGACTGAAGACACCTGCTGCCGCTGAGGCTGAGATTTAATCTTCATCAGTGTCTTTGGTTTCACCTTTTAGATAATCTTTGAAATCTTTTCTCAATAGACCAACATTCCCGCTTTCCTGACCAGTGACCTCTTGTGGTTGTGCAAATAAAGACTATCTTTGCTTGGGAGCAAAGGCAGATGTAGGTTTCTGTTTTAAGACTTAATGTGAAGCAGGTACTGGAGGTGCAATTACACGTAAAGTCAATGCAAAGACGGGAGAGGGTGCAAACAGATAGGAATTCTTCTTATTTGAGGTTTTATGGCTGTTGGCATCTAAATTGTTGCATTACCGCCTGTACTTTACTGTATTAAATAGTTTTCCCAGTGCAAACTATTTACAGTGACCACCCAAAGGACTCCCATTCAATACATTTGTCAGTTTTATGTCTCAGTTGTGTGAGTTGGTGTAAACCCATCTCTTCTCCTCCACAGTGTCCAAGAATCTGCTCGCAGCATCCTCTCTGACTTTCTGTTTATTTCAACGGCACAATTTACCACCATGGCAATAAATGCCAGAAATGGCTTCTTGTCCACGCAGATCATATTCTGATCCTCTCCATTCCTTTTTGGCTCCTGTTTCTTTTCCACTCGTTCCTCCTTTCTTTCCGTCCTCTTGGTAGCTTCAGCACATTCCACTCTGATTTTACTCACTTTAATTTCTTTTAGTCGTCTCGGACCCCACATGATGCTTTCCCGCGCAGTGTAGGCACTTTACTTGCTCCTGCTCTTCTTCACACTCCTCTCATTTACAGCTTTTCATCCCACATCTTCTGTCTCCTCTCCGCATTCCCTCAGGGAAGCTCTTTCATACGGCCTCACCCTGTAACATAAATCTAAATATATTCTTCCTGGCAAAGGTCAAAGGTATTACTTTCCTCCCTCTCCCCCCCGTCAGTCTTCTCGCTTCACAAACATCTTCAATATTTCAAAATGCCTCGTCCTCCTCTGGCAGCGGTACTTATCACTCCTTTTCTCTTGATCTCTGAACAGATTGGAAAGCACTTGAAACTGCTGTGATCTTCATACTCATCGATCCTCAAAGCTTTATCTTTCTGTCGCCTTGACACACACCCAATAATCACAATCCACCCGCTAATCGACCACACTCCAAGTTTTCCTCTGACAAACTTTCCAACCTCGTGCGAATCTCTGAAGATCCCGTCCGTTCGGGTCACCGCTATCATCCCATCACGATGCTTCACATCTGGAGCTTTCGTCTGGCATCACTTCTTCCTTTCCTGCTTCGCTCTCCACATACTGCTCTGACTCCGTTTTCCCGCCTTTGTCCACAGATATGAATTCACCCTTGGCAGGTTAAAGAAGGTGAAGGCACATTTTAAATGTGCTCCCTCCCTCCTGAGGGATTATGACTTCAGTTCATGAACTTACAGAGAGACAGTTTGATATTGCACACAGATAGATAGCTGCAGTTTAATGTATACACAGGCTATCGGCTATTCGTGGTGAAGAAACTGCACAAACAGCTCAGTTAACACACACGTGTCCCAGATGGGCAGTAGGCTATTTCAAGTAAATGTAAAAGTATTTTGTAATTTGTATTTTGCTGGGCAGAAAGAAATGAAGATGAAGTTTGTAACAAAACACTTGTAAGAGCTTGTATTTGAAATACTTAAAATACTAATTACACCACTAGATGCCACTAAAACCTTTAAGTAAGTAAAGTTTATTTAATAAAGAACCTGTCACAGAATAAAGTCACAAAGTGCTTTACAAGAGTAAAATAATAAAGTCACATATATAATAAGAGACAACAATAAAACAAAAGCGATCACGGGAGCTCTGCAGTCGGAGGCAACAATAACTACCCCAGTCTTGTCTGTGTGAAGCTGTAAAAGGCTGTTGGCTGTTTAAGGACTGACTTACCACACATGAACACACTGATTCCACCTCCTCACCTCTTTGGGTTTCCAGGCTCAGACATTATTATTCACTGTCAGCATTAAAAAAAGCAATAAGGACTATTACTGCAATTTTGTGGGTCTCTGCGGCTCATTGAGAATTTACACGTTTAATTATCTTTAACTCCAAAGAAAATAGGACAGTGTGCCTACAACATCAGTGTATGAGTCATAGCTAAGGGACCCATAATGAAGTCTCTTTTCTCTGGTGTCTTCTCTAAACCTGAAACGACAGTAAAAGCCTCCACAGGTCCAGACTGAGGATTTATTCATTTGTTTCTGTGCCACTTCAGATCTGGGTCAGCTTCACTTAGAGAGCTGCTCCCACCTGCTGGACAACTGAGGACTCACACCTGATAATTAAATACACTGAAAGATTTATATTTATTACTAATAAATAATACTAATACTAAAGTTTGGCCCAGATGGCATCAGTTTATTTTATAGTAAAGGATTTTTGCATTTGCTGTTGATGTTAAAAAAAAAAAGGCTTGACTTGTTATGGATTGACTGAGCTATGTTTTTTATTCATCTGATCATAGTGGAGAGTTTTAGTTTCCCATGATGGTGCAAATGCTTTTTTAGATGTTTTTCGTGGTAAAAAAAAATCAATCTGGTTTAAATTCAATATTTGTAATATATTATACATGTATTTATACTATCAAGACATCTTAAAGAGTTTTAAAATAATTTAAATTCTACTATCCATGTCCCTTGTGTTGACTGTTCAGTTTTCTTTTGATATGTGCCAAATATACTGCACATATATGTATGTAGCTCTACATAGGACATTTAATATAAGAGTATTTGAACATGTAAATCCCTTTACAGTGAAGTAAACAAAATTATTAAAGCAAAAACAGAATAAGATCAACCCAGTGTACAAATGATATGAATTCTCCTTTCATTAGTTTGAACTCAGATGAAAACAAAGTCACTATTTTTGTAATATACTTTGAAATTCTCATTTAATCGAGGTATTATTATTTTCAAAGTTGAGGAGGATTTCTATTCGCTAAAGCGGAACCATTTATGTATGGGACGTTTCGACCCGGCTGTAAATATTGTGACACAGTGTATGTACTCCATGCGTGTTTTGAGCCGAAGTGGTCTGGTGATATTTTCTGTGCTTTTGCGAGTTTTCTGATCAACATAAATGTTGAAATAGTTTTTAGTGGTTATCGTCCGTTTTGTTGGCGACAGACGCGTCCAAGTAGTCCTACAAAGTTACCGGATGTTTTCCCCTAATTTGTGGAAATTTCTAGCAAGTAGGTAAGGTTGAAAATAACAACACATAACACATGAACAAGATCACATAACGCGCGAGCACAGGGACTGATTTAAATGGTGATTGTGACCCGATTCCTGCTCAAATCTTTCAAAGGCAAAAAAAGCCCACACCAGACTCCACTGAAAAGATTGTATGTTTTATGTTTATTCGTGTAATGGCAAATATGAATATCACATTTAAAATGACTTTGAACATTTTACAAATTGACATGCTACTATGCCTAATTCGGCACCGGTCACATCCACCAAACGACACTGATAAATTCCTACATTGCATTACATTTTCGGTGGAAGAAGACGGTGGGAATAACGAGCCAAATAGTGGAAATTATAACTTACTTGAATTATCATTAATTATTGTACTGACTTCATGCCGAATTGCAAAATGGTTTCTATTGATTCATAAAACATCAAAAGTTGTCTCCTAATGTGCACAAAACCATGACCAATAAGCAAGGAAACAAAAAAGCTTTAGGATTTTGAATGGAGTCTTGCTGGAGAAGAGTCTTAAGTTGTTTAAATGCAACAAGAAGCTTCTTTGCTTCTGAAATGCAGCTTTAAATTTGTGATATTTTTTCTTCTTCCTGTTTAGTGTAATTATCCCGCCATGGAGGGTTTGGAGGAGAAGCTCAACGGTCTGTCCATCGCTCTGCGGTCTCGCCCGGAGGAACCCACCTACCTGCTGGACCTCACCCTGCAGCCGAGCGGGCTGCTGGCCGTGTCCTGCTCCAACTTCACCGTCCACCTTCACAACAAGGACACTCTGAACCTGCTGGGAGAGTATCGGGGCCACAGAGGGCCGCTCTGTGGGGTTGTTTTCTCCCACACCTCCCCTGACCTCCTCTACTCTGGTTCTGCTGATGGGACAGTCCGGGGGTGGGACGTCCGCCGCCCCGGGTCAGAGGCAGCCCAGCTGTTTAAAAGCGATCCGTCACACGGCTACTGTAGCGTCGACCTGAGCTGCAGCGACTCGCTCCTGTGCGCCGGCACCGAGCAGGTGAACGATGAAGACAGCTTCCTGGTGTTCTGGGACGTCAGGAAACCGGGTGGCGGGCTTCTCGGGGTGTATTCTGAGTCGCACAGTGACGACATCACTCAGGTGCGCTTCCACCCTCGAGACAAAGACCGCCTGGCGTCCAGCTCCACTGACGGCCTTGTTAATGTTTTTGACCTGAGCCGGGGGGCGGAGGAGGACGCGCTGCTGGCCACCTGTAACAGCGACTCGTCTGCCGGCTCGGTGTGCTGGTCTGGAGCAGATTACACCCAGCTGCTGTGCCTCAGCCACGACGAGGGGCTGCACCTGTGGGATCTGGGTCAGCTGGACACAGAGGAGCCTCTTACCGTTTTCAGCACCTCTGACGCTCGCAGCGTGACTCTGCTGGGTGACGGCGGAGGCGTGGATTACCTGGGTGGGGGGCGGTGGCTGGAGGAGGCCCAGAAGCTGCTGGTGGTCGGAGGGAAGAACAGCGGGGATCTCCACCTGATGGAGTGTGACGGCGGGGGGCTTCGTCTGCTGAGGAGCCTCGTGGGCGGCCACGCCTCCACGGTGCGCTGCTTTCTGTGGGACGCAGCGGGGGAGGCTCTGATCACCGGGGGAGAGGACGCTCAGCTGTTACTGTGGAAACCAGGAGGGGAGGAGCTCGCGACGGGGAAAAGGGAGACCATGAAGAGCGAATCAGCTTTGAGACTCAAATCCAGGCCGCATAAAAAGCACGGCTACCAGAGAGAAAAGAAGCAGCAGAGCCGAGAAACTGAATCAAAATACTGACTCATACTGACATTTTACATTCTGAGAGAAATCACATTTCAACTGGAAGTTTCCTCTAAACTGTTCTGTACATAAAGAATATCGTGTGTACACAGCCCCCCAGGAGAGGAAATCCTTCACACCTGGTGTTAACATGTGGTCTGGATTCTTTATTTGAATAGAGACATTTGATCCACTGGCCTTTGCTTTCACACCAGGTGTTAATAAGTCATCATTTTATCTCAGTTCTGCCCACACTGTGATCAGATGTCAATGTGCAAATGAGTTAGGTAGAGCTGCCTTATTGGTGTAGCCTGGTGCATCCCATCGCATCCCGACTGCAGTGGGTTCTCCGTGCATTAACGCCTGCACAGATATCCAGATTCAGACCGAACATTAGTGAACTTGTCTCAATCCTGCACCACAGTTCTAAGCAGGTATGAGGTACGTTGATGCTGGAAAAGTGAAGCTTAAATACACTCAGAGTCAGATTAAACCATTTGAGTTTTGAATGAGCTCATTTTATTTTTTTCAGGCAATGAACACAAATAAAACTACGCAGGGCAGCTCCAGGAAGATCTCAGAAAACAAAACAAAAACTTAACATATTTGGAAAAAGATTTAGTTTTCTCTTTGTGAAATATAAGTGCCAGTGGCAGTTTGACTGACGACCACGTCCTGCGTACTCTCCTGTTGGTACAAATCAGTACGCTACCTGAAGAAACGGGCCACTGTGAATCTAAACGTACTGTACTGCTGAGGTTTCTCTGAGATTTTCATTTTTAAATCAAGATTTTTACCAAATCAAGCGTTAGTTCAGGCAGGTAACAAGTCACGCTCAACTGATAGCTCAGCTGATTCCTCTCTGAGCATTCATTGGCAAATTCCATATAAGGTGCCTTATTTAAGCTGCTGCAGCCTGCCTGCCCTGGCTGCTTCCTCTCCAAACAGCTCATAAACAGTGTTGGGCAAGTTACTTCCACAATGTAATACATTATAGATTACTAGTTACTGTCATTTGAGAGTAATTAGTAATATTACAATATGGAATTGTAACTGAATTGTAATGCGTTACGCTACTTTTGAGTTACTGAGATTCTGATGTGCTGCATTGGCAGGTTCTAGCGGTGCAGAGTTATGTCCCCGGATCGGATGGGTCTGTCATAAAAATGAACCTTCTGATTAATAGCGGGAAAGACGCTGTGTGCGTTTACGCGCCCGGTACAGCGGCAGGTCGTTGATTATTTGACTCTCCCGACAGGATCGGTCAGGATGAGCTGACAGCAGCCTCTCTGATCAGGAAAGTAAATCGTTAAAGAAACACACAGCTTATAGAAATCTGTTTTTCGCCTTCTCTCTAACTGCTGTTCAACATCGATCAGCTCCAACTCCAACATGATCCGCTCAGTTTCAGTCACCACTGTTCGTAGCAAACTACACCAACGAAGAAGAAGAAACTCAACACAGTGGAATGTAGAAACCCAGAAACACAGGCACCAATGCACAAGGGTAAATGCAGCAGTACCAGGCGGCCGGGCCGGAGTGGCAATGACAGAGACGCCGTTCACTCTTGTTACAAGTCAGTGTAGCAGCAAAGTGATTTTGAAGCTGTTTTAAGATAAAATTAGCACATAATGTTGCTTTAAAGCTGATGTGATTCAATCTGCTGGATCTTGTTACTGCATCACATCCTGAAAGTCACCGGAGCCGCAGCGGGATCGTGTGTGACTCAGGAGAAATCCTGACCGTTCACCGAGCTCACGAGAGAGACGTTAAAGATTCTCAGTGTGGTGAATCAGCGACCTCATGGAGTTTTTATTTACTGACGTTTTTACTGACCGCTCTGCAGAGGTGGAAGAAGTACTCAGATCATTTACTGAAGTAAAAGTACAAAATTATTAGAATCAAAATACCAAAAGTAAAACTACTCATTATATAGAGTGGCCAATTTCAGAATATTATTTATAACTGGATTATAATTGTTGATGCATTCATGTTGGTGAAGGTGCAGACTTTATCTGCTCGGTAGTTTGTGATTTCCTCCCCTGGGATCAAAGTTTTTGTCTTCATCTAAAGTAAAAGGATAAAGTAGCAGAAATTGGAAATACTCAAGTAAAATACAAGTTATGTAAAATTGTACTTAAGTACAGTACTTGAGTAAACGTACGTCACAGCTTTGCCGAAGCTACCTCCAATTTAAATTACACGTAGATGAAAATGTAAAGTAGTGATATAATATTGTGTACCAGGTGAAGCTTTGACGCCGCCAGAGTTGAGAAGAAGGTCTGTAATTTTAAGTGAGAGTTTTTAGAATGGAGGTTTGGATTATTAAGGCTGCTGAAGTTTATGCAAGTACTCTGGAACAGCCTGCCTGAAGAAAGCAGGTCTGCTGAATCAGGGAATTCCATTTATTCCCTTCTTAAAACATCGTTTTATAGAAAATTCTTTCCTGATTTTAGTTGACTATATGTTTCTTTTCTTTGAACTGTATTTTTATTCCTTATTAAAAATCAGTCCTTGTTTTCATCTGTTTCTTGTTTATCTGCTTTAAATTCAAACTTGTTTTTGCATTTTCTGCCGTTGTGAAAGCACTTTGTGACACAGATTTTTGGAAAGCGCTCTGTAAATAAAGATTATTATTATTACTGTACTTAAGTACATCTCTGAGGTATTTTGTTTTTCATATAACTTGAATAGTTTTACGCTACTTTATACTTCACAATATGTCAGAGAGAAATATTGTACTTTTTACTCCGCTAGGTATTTGGCGTCTATAGTTACTAGTTACTTTGCACATTATGATGAATAGGATAATAAGTTTAACCGTCCAACAGTATAGAAAATGTTCATGTATCTCCACCTATAATACACTATAATACATTTTAGTAGTATGCCATTAGGTGCAGTGCAAGGAGGGGCTCTTGTGGTGGTGGAGCAGGTCAGTGAGGTTGGAAGGGGCCTGGTTATAGAGGGCTTTGTGTGTGAGGAGGAGGATTTTCTACTGACTGCTTTGGGAAACGGAGGCAGTGAAGATTCGGGAAGGGGGTGGTGTGGTTGAGGAGGCGCTTTTGGAGTTTTGGAGAGTTTTGGATGCATTGAAGTTTGTTTAGGGCTTTGGCAGATGAACCATAGAGGATGCTACTGCAGTAGTCGATTCGGGATGTAATGAAGGCGTGGATCAGGGTTTCAGCAGCAGAGAAGGTGAGTGATGGGCAGAGACGGGCGATGTTTTTGAGGTGGAAGACGTCAGTCCTAGTGATATGGTTAAAGTGAAGTTCACAAGTGAGGTTGCTGCCAAAGACGACTCTGAGGTTGCAGATATGCGGGGATGGAGACAGGGTAGAGTTGTTGATGGAGAGTCTGAAGCTGTTGCTGTTCATTGTGAGGGATTTGGGGCCGATGATGAACAAAGTTGGTTTGCATCCAGGTTTGTATATCCTGAGGCAGTTGGTCAGATTATATCCTAAAAGTATCACTTATATACATTATAAAAAAGGCTCAATAGGTTTCAATAAACATATTGAAACCAATTTAGTCCAAAATGAAAATAATCAGTCTCAATAAGTCATTTGTCTTCCAAAACACACTGTAATGCCTGCATGGAACTGACCAAAAACTCAAAAGACCTCTAAGAAATGTTCACTAATATAATACCAATCAAATGCAAAACAATAGTATGTACAATCAGAGGTAAAACTTCACAGTAGTGTGTAGAAAATGATGGGAAGTATAACGTGTGTCCTGTCATCCCTGTTAATCTGGTCAAATCTGTTACCGTAACGTCAGTCTTGTTGCTGACATTAATTTGATGGAGAAAAAAACCCCAACTAAACTATATTATATTTTTCCAACGAAGGTCAAAATGAAGGGCAACTGGACTTGGTTGAAGATACTAGAAGACGTTTCGTCCTTCATCTTCAGTTCTGACTGACTGGCAGGGAAACTCAGCTATTTAACCTCAGTGGGGTCGTTGGCCCGGGTCATCGATACCGCTGGTTCGTTAGTGTTCCTTGTTGCTGTGACGACAGTCGTTACGGTCGTTAAGACTACCTGTGGCCGAGACTGAACGACCATCGTTGGCATCTTCACCTGAGGCCAATAGGTTACGTTTGTTGAGTTTCCTGGGAAGTGATGAAAGGACAGCATTGTAAGTGGGGGATAAGTGGTGGCGTAGACCCCCTCCCCTGTTCAATGACGGCTTCTCCACCCTGGTGTAGATGCTTCCTTGACACCTCTTTCAAACCATCCATCTTCTCTGTCTAAAATGTGCACCTGGTGGTCCTCAAACAAAGCCTGTGGAGACCCTAAATGGACTTTGTGAAGACAGCCACAAAATCCAAGAAGAACAAAACTACAGGGGAGGAAAAGAAGGTCAAACGCAACAACATTGTGATTCCATACGTGTCTGGAGTATCAGAGAAACTCAGGAGGATTTTTAACAAACATAACATCCCTGTGTTTTTTAAACCCAAGAACACACTAAGACAGATGCTGGTCCACCCCAAAGACCGCACACCCAAACACAAGAAAAGCAATCTAGTGTATGCGGTCCAATGCAGTGAGGAATGCACAGACCTGTATATTGGGGAGACTAAACAACCACTACACAAACGCATGGCTCAACACAGAAGGGCCAACTCCTCAGGTCAAGACTCTGCAGTCTACTTACATCTGAAGGACAGAGGACACTCGTTTGAGGACCACCAGGTGCACATTTAGACAGAGAAGATGGATGGTTTGAAAGAGGTGTCAAGGAAGCATCTACACCAGGGTTGAGAAGCCGTCATTGAACAGGGGAGGGGGTCTACGCCACCACTTATCCCCCACTTACAATGCTGTCCTTTCATCACTTCCCAGGAAACTCAACAAACGTAACCTATTGGCCTCAGGTGAAGATACCAACGATGGTCGTTCAGTCTTGGCCACAGGTAGTCTTAACGACTGTAACGACTGTCGTCACAGCAACAAGGAACACTAACGAACCAGCGGTATCGATGACCCGGGATAACGACCCCACTGAGGTTAAATAGCTGAGTTTCCCTGCCAGTCAGTCAGAACTGAAGAAGTCCTTTGGATGAGGGACGAAACGTCTTCCAGTAGCTTCAACCAAGTCCAGTTGCCCTTGATTTTAACCTTCGTTGGATAACTACGACCTGGATGACTGAGAATCTTCATAGATATATTATATTTTGGACTTGGCCATTCTTTCGAGATTTCTCTTACATATTTTTTCTTCACAGACGTATTCGCCATCCAAAATTAGGGTCCTCTTGGTCATCTCAAAGAAAAAACAATATTGAAAAAATAATCCAAAATCTGAAAATGATCTCACTGAAAAGAGAGACTAATGTACTGCTCATTTATGTGTGTTCTATTACATATACACCCGGCACCGCTCCCACCGGCCAATCGCCGTTGTACGTAGAGCTTAACCCTTACTTTTACTTAAGTAAAAGTACAAAAACATTACAATTAAAAAAGCACTCATAATGCAGAATATCCCATTTCAGAATAATATTTATTACAGGATTATAGTTTATTATTACGTTTATTGATGCATTCATGTGTAAACATCACTTTAATGTTGCAGCTGGTACAAGTGGAGCTCATTTTAATGACTCTGTAGACCACAAAACTTCAATTAACAGCCTACTCTCAATTAAACACCCGTCGTAATGGAATTACATGTAAGTAGTTACTCCCCAACTCTACTAATTACTTGCAAATTATGAGGTAGGTACATTTATTTGTCAGAATATAACAGGTTATATAGAGAATCTACTTACTGTATATGATTGTTAAACCACCCAACAGTATATAAAACGTTTAAGTATCTCCACAACAGGCAGCTATAACATTAATATGCTGCTGACATGTTAATGCATCAGTAATGATAAGCCATATGCATATATTATCATGCATCTGAACTCTATGAATGTATTCTAGATACCCAATGTGCAATATTCTCTGCTTCAATACCCTGGCTACTGTCCCAATACTGTTGTTTTTAAGGATTATATCCATTCCACATCAACTCTACCAGTACTCATATTCCTATTAATATCTAATTCACTACTACTATTTATTATGCCCCTTAATGTTAATACTGTAAATATCTACACTCCTTATATTTATATTTGTTTACTTTTCCATGTCAGCTCTACCTGTACTCATTCTTCCTATTAGTATTTAATTCACTACTACTATTTATCATTAAATTTATTTTATTTTGTAAAACAACGTACACATCACACTCCTTCATATTTCATTATATTTTTTACTTACCTGCTTTCTATTATTATTTCTATTCCTCAATATCTGGATACACAAAGTGAGTAATTGTAACACAAAGAACTCTCCTCAGGGGATCAATGAAGTATTTCTGATTCTGGTATTGCCTCCATGGTGAGTATAAAAGTGCATTATAGTAAAATATATAATTTTTTCACGCCTGTCTTCACCAAATTACATGTAACTAGTTACTTTGCACATTATGATGATTGTTACAGTATATAAAACGTTTAAGTATCTCCACAACAGGCAGCTATAACATTAATATGCTGCTGACATGTTAATGCATCAGTAATGATAAGCCATATGCATATATTATCATGCATCTGAACTCTATGAATGTATTCTAGATACCCAATGTGCAATATTCTCTGCTTCAATACCCTGGCTACTGTCCCAATACTGTTGTTTTTAAGGATTATATCCATTCCACATCAACTCTACCAGTACTCATTATTCCTATTAATATCTAATTCACTACTACTATTTATTATGCCCCTTAATGTTAATACAGTAAATATCTACACTCCTTATATTTATATTTGTTTACTTTTCCATGTCAGCTCTACCTGTACTCATTCTTCCTATTAGTATTTAATTCACTACTACTATTTATCATTAAATTTATTTTATTTTGTAAAACAACGTACACATCACACTCTACACTCACATATTTCATTATATTTTCTACTTACCTGCTTTCTATTATTATTTCTATTCCTTAATATCTGGATACACAAAATGAGTAATTGTAACACAAAGAACTCTCCTCAGGGATCAATGAAGTATTTCTGATTCTGGTATTGCCTCCATGGTGAGTATAAAAGTGCATTATAGTAAAATATATAATTTTTTCTTAACCAAATTACATGTAACTAGTTACTTTGCACATTATGTTGATTGTTACAGTATATAAAACGTTTAAGTATCTCCACAACAGGCAGCTATAACATTAATATGCTGCTTACATGTTAATGCATCAGTAATTATAATCCATATATATATCATGTAATACTGAGTCCGTATTGCCTCCATGGTGAGTGAAAAAGTGAATTATAGTTTTCTCTCCAGTCCCCCCCCCCCCCCCCCCATAATGCACGCCCATGAACGTAGCTATATTCATAGTAAACCTACATTTAGTTATGTAACTCTCTTTCCTGTCTAATATCTGGAGATAGATCCACTCTCCCTTCACGCAGCGCTGCTTCGGCGCAGAAGCGGGCTAAATAAATAAATAAAAAGTACAGTACAAGCTGGCTCAGAGTGAAGTGTGGAGGCGAAGCGCTGGCTGGGCCTCGGACAGGTTTAGCCTCATTCCAGCGCGCTGTGTCCTGGAGACTCCGCGCGCACCGCACACCA